TGGAACGTGAGCTAGACTATGCAGCCAAAACCCCGTATCCCTTCTTTTTTGTGGCTCATACGCTGCCCTCCTCTTGAAGCTGCAACCCCATCTGCAAGACCTGCTCTACCATTAATCATTATAACCAAGCATAACATGCAATACCTGGCCGAACGTCCAACAAATCCAAACCTACTGGGGCTGGAGGGAGATGTCCAGGCTCGTATTGCTAACATGTTCCTTGCCCAAGTATTTGGCAACCCGTTGCGTGGACGTCGAAACCCAGATATGATTATGTGGTTCATTGGGATGCGGGGGGTTGCACACTGATAGTACTGTGCTTTTGCAGCAGCGTTTCTACTGCTCCCATGTAAATACGAACCGTCCGTGGGACGTGTTCTGAATCTACTTCTTCCTGTGAACGAACGGCCTCCGAAGTGCTTTCGGATCTCTTCTTCTGTGGCAACCTTCTCCACCAAATTTCCAATCCAAATTTGACAACCTCCGCGGTCTTAGGCTGAGGGAAACTTTTGGGATTTATAAGTACTGCACCCGAAGCTTCAGTGGACGAATGCTTTATAGGGTAGTTGAAAGGAGTCTTCAACGTGTCAGGTATATGAGTAGACACCAAACCAAAAAAAGGAACTATAGTAACTATGTCCATATTCGGAGGAATCAAAGGGGAACATGCAACAGACTATTCCACTGACATAGGTTAATAGGTGTTCAAAGGGGCAGGTGTGTTCTGAAATTAATGTTGGGGCTTTGAGAAGACTCGCGGTCTCGGCTAGATTTCAGGGAGTTCAGGGTTTAGAGCGGCCAGACGAAACTACTAGTGATACTAAAGGTCCTACGTGATTCTCGTTTTTTGTTACGATACCCTAGCTCCCAAGGAATAAAGTACTCGGGGCCATGCAGGATTTTCAGTGTCCACCGTATGGGGCGTCCACAATCCCAAGGGGCGGTAGAACGGATGTCACCAGCAGGCGTTTGAGAAAAGAGGTTTCCATAAATTTGAACGGGTTCAGGATAGTTTTGAGTTTTGGCTTAGATGTCGGAGGCAACACTTAGACGGCGGAAAAGTCCTGACACATGGGTACTTCCCAAGAAAAATGTGCCCAAAAAGCTAACCTCAGAAACAAGACCAAGGACCCGCGCAAGCGGGGATCCAAGGCCCTAAAATGAAACCGCTCCATCTTCCAACAGGCTGCGTATGTCGTTCAACATATCCCCCCCGCAAGTGATTCTGTTATCTTACAAAACTCTTGCTACTAGCTGTTACAGCGCTATTCTTCGGACTGGATGGTAACCTGACCAACTGCCGGATTCATTATGATCTCCAGGTTAGTTCGAGTGGAACCCTGCTGTGATTCCGTGGCCCTGTTACTTTCTGCTATGTCCAGGGCTCGTACGACAGCTGCTCTTGCTACTACTCGTATAGTGTCCAGTTCGGATTGCGCTGCTACTCTTGTGAAAATCACTCTTATCACTCTCATTGCAACAAAGTGCGAACAACTCTAAGGCTGATAGCGGTCCTGCTCCTGTCTCATCCAATCATGGCACCAAACCTAGGCGTCGTCATACTTGAAATCCCAACCCACCTATACTGCCAACTCAAACACTCAAGGTTCTATACTTCAACCTTCTAATGAAGCCTCTTCCATGAACTCTTCAACCTAAGCTCGTGCCTACTGAGCCGTTACGACAAATTCCAGATCACTTTTGCCTTCTTTCTTCTCCTCGGTTTTCTGCTCGCTGCCCTTTGCGTCTGATTTCAGACCTGTGCACCGGTTGGAGTTTTCAAATTCAGTCGGGCATTCTGTCAGCATGCGAAGGCTTCTGGGCTTTACATACGCAAACAAGTGCGCAGGGAAGGTTGTAGGAACACGTATCCAGAGGTCCTCGGCGCCGCTTCATGGCTACATGAATTCTGAAGGGACAACTGCCTCATGGCTTTGGTCTGCCCATTTCCCCGCGTGGGTGAAGTCAATCCCTAAGCGCTTGGCCATCCTAATCACATGCACTGAGTCTGAGCCCCTGAAGCACACACAAAGCCCCAGCTGTCAACTGCACATATACTCCTCAGCTTCAACTCAGAGTAGTTGTCGTAATTCCTAGGACGAAATATGGACCCCAGAAACTACAATCCTGATCCTGCGGGCCCTCTTTAAAAGAGACCCCTACCTTTCCAAGACACTCATACTGGGGGATGGTGATGGGACGATACCGCCTTGGGGAGTGTCAAGGCTTATGGAGCAAGCCCATTCCTGAAGTTTGCAACATGTGGAGCTCTTCAGGACACGTGTATATAGGGGTAGTATGGGGATGTAGGATCCAATAATGGAGAATCAAACGGACAATTCAATGGGCACTTGGATTGTACAGTGGACTCGGGTTTTCAAAAATTACGGCCCCTTTCTTGTATTGTAGCAATATATGGTGACCCCTGTTGCAGAAATGATGCCCTAGGGTGGATTATTGGCAACTTTCTGAGGGATTCCATGAGCATAAGGCAGGAAACAGAAGCCCCGTGACAAAAAACAAGAGGGTAGCTGACCCTCAATTCTCAACCCCTTTCCATGAGCCCGGACCTTACTGAATCTATAAAGCATGCAACCTCATCTACAACAGCTGTCACAAGTGGCACACGCACACACAAGAACAATCACTCAACCTGAAACCGCTATGCCATCAACCTGCAGCATCAAAATCCTCAATCTGAAATCGCTAGGAACAAATCTGCCAAAAGCGTCTGAGCAAACCCGTTTGAACCCGACACCTAGCACCTCTAAAGCCTGCACCCTTGCGCCTTCTGCTGGTTCAGCCGCTTTGCCTGCTGCGTCATTGAATTTTGGGGTGCGCGATCTACAAGTCTCGCCGTGCTCTCTACATGGTAACAGGTAACAGTACGATTGCATCCTCATGCTCAATAAGGGGCAGTGGGAGCTTGTGCAAACGCCGCAATGCGTAGCAATCATCAAGTCATCAATGTTCATATTTGTTGCGGGCGGCTAAACAAGCTTGCGCGGCCTGTAAATCTCGGAATCTTGTGTGTTCCAGAATCGTGGTGCCAGGAATCCCCTGATCGTGCTCTAGTACAATCAGGAACCTTCCGCAAGCAATCTGTACTGAGACACGCCCCCAGCACCCAGCGTTGTGAAAGAGCGCCTCCGCCCGAAGTTTCAGCAGCCGCAGGGGCTGCTGGTGCTGCAGGAGCGCCTGAAACACTTACGCTTGGGGTTTGGGGATTCAGGCTTAGCTTGCTTCGAAGCAATGCTTTGAATCTGGGTGGCTTTACACTGGCTTCGCCCTGAAGCCAATCGACCCACCCCCCAACAAGAAAAAAAACCAGGCCGTAAAAATGGTTTGATGAGCAGGAGAGACATGGACATTTGTCTGCTGCAGTCTCAGGTTAGCCTCAGAACCAATAACTCCCAAACCGAGCCTGTCAAAACCCATTAAAGCTGCTCTTGGCGACAGTTCCCCCAAGTGAGGTGCTTTGGAAAACCTATGTATCTCAGGGGATGGCGCAAGTCAATTATTGGATTAATGGGGAAGGGATTATCTTTTGGGGCTTCGGTTCTGGGATCTCGGTACGAGTCTGGGTGCTGCAAGGCATCTCTTGAATTCCGACCAGTTGAAGACAAGTGTGGTTCCTACTGCAGTACCATCTTTACATGTCGTTTACACCACGCTGAAAATGCCGAAATCTGGTCATCTCGTGTTCGAAGGGGCCTCGTTCAGGGTTTAGCAACACTACAGGTACTGTGTCGGGGCAGTATGCACGGTGCAGTGTATCGCTGAACAGTCCTACAGATCGCTGGATATAGTTCACTGCCTGACTAGAACATTATGAGAACAGGCATCAACACATATAGCATCATATGCAAGGAGGGTTGCTTCAGGAACTCACCTGTAGAGGGTCACGTTTTGGCGAGATTAGCTTTTAGGCTGCCTGAAATATATCCATAGGCTAACTAAAAGGACTTCAAAGGCCTCGAAGATGGGGTAGAGATCCGATCAGATAAACCTACTCGGACCACTGTCCCCTGGAGCCTACTGTACCACAACTGGCTAGATGGCAAAGACAAAGCATCGAGTCAGCTTTTCTGCTGATTGCTGTTGATCCACACCTTAAAGCCGGCTCCGTGCTTGGAACGCTTCAGGTCCCAGGTTTGAGACGAGGCTCTGCCTTCCCCAACTACTTAACTTAAAACGTTATGAATTCCCCTGGCTACGTTCGGAAATAGCGCGGGCAAGGTTGCCGCATCTGGGACATGTTTGACAAGCAGCGATGATGTTCTGAACCGCAATCGATGATTCGATGCTATGAGGGTTGAGATCCACGAACATAGCTGAAGCCAAGTCCAAAAGAAGACAGCTGACAAAATACACTGATGGGTGAGGGCTCCACCTAGATTAAGTGCGCGTTTGTCTTCTTCGGGCTAGTGACTGCTGACTCCCTTGTGCTGGGAATAGCAGAAACTCTTGTTTCGATGAATACGCGGGTTGTATACAACTGACCACAGCGTACAACACACCATGAAGCGTTTCTATGCTCCCTTTACTCGCGGTAAACAAACGAATACTTCAGGGTCTAGGCAAGCCCTGAAGGCATGGACCCCGTAAGAAGGGGCTGAGGCTTGAAAAAGTTTGTCCTGCTTCTCCATGGCAGTTTGGAAAAGAAGGATGACGTGGGAGGATTCTTCACATAGGGATCCGCCCTGTCATTGATTGTTTTCGGAACTACCAAATGACATTCTGCATCCTGGCCGTTGTGCAGTGCATCCCTGCACACCAGAGATCCGACAGTAAAAGCTAAAAGTCGCCAAGGGTAAGAAAAGAGAAGCTGATCATATGTGGCTGCTTAATTAAAAAACGTTTTCAACTGGAATCTGGAAGCTACGAGTAAGTAATGAATAATGAGTCCATCCCTGGCCTGAACGGGTGCTTCCCATTCTAACCCTGACACCTAAATCCTACGCAGCTCACAGAAGCGCAAGCCACACCAGCTGCGCCAGCTATCGGCCCACACGCGACACAGTCCAGCTTGTGAAGATGTCTTTGGCCTGAAATCTTCTTAGGCTTTGATTGACTGTTCAAGCTGCTTTGCTCTCGCACATTTCACGTGAGTTCAATATAGTTCATCTGCATCTGGGTGAGCCATAACACTTTTCTGTGAGAAAAGCCAAGCGGCTTCATAGTAAGACTGCCGCACCCCATCCACCTGGCGTGCTTCAGCGTAGCCCACCACTTTGCTCAGGGCTTGATCCAAGGCATCTTGCTGTTGCGTCAAGGACCTCAGCCATCTTCTTTTTCAGGCCAGGGTATGGTCTATACCCGGTTTAGGAGGATGATAAGCCAAAGAGTCATGTGAGTCGGGACGAGAGCTCGCAGGTTCGTATCGAAGAGCCGGTGCTAAATTTGCAGCATAAAACACGACCTACACTTCGGGCTTTGATAAACCAGAAATGGCATTTGAGCTATAGCCTTTTTTGTCCTGTATTCCCCTTAATAAACACTGTAAGTCTCCCCTGTATAATCCCCTATAGCTACTATAGCTCATGCAGTGCAAAAATCTGAGGTCCAGGGGCTCTCGGTCAAAAGCCTCCTGTCCATCGCCTTGTAGAATACCAGCAGCGGTTGTCATCGTCTCCAGAAGTGGTGTCTTCCTTGGAGGTATCTGAATGTCACTTAAAGCCAAAGCAAATCTGAACTCGCATTCCTGGCGAGCACTGCGCTGCAGATGTAGAGCCTTTGGATACTTTTTGACTTGGCCAACTGCCGTTGTCTGATCCCTTACCCCACCATGACACTTGTTGTGCGTGTTCCTTCTGATGTTGCTCGGCCATGAGAAGTACATGAGGGAATGATGAGGAGTGAGGGCTATCAAAGCAAAGGAGGCAGCAGTACTCAACCAATGACCCAAGTAGTCCAATACTTCAAAAGAAGCTATCCCATCCTTCTGTACAGGCGAGCGCAAGGGCACACGTCAACACCTTGCGGTCTACAAAGGGTGGAGGGTTAAGAGTAAGCCAAGACTGACAGAAAAAGACACTGGACATTCTCAATATGGGAAAGCTTCAAACAGGTATCCTTGGTCTTGAGCACCACCAAATCTTCGGATCCCAATTTGTACTCTCGAACAACATCTTGTGACGACTACAAGCTGGCAAGGCAAGGCCACACGTTAGTCGTCAATGCTCTGTGCAGGCGCTCAGTTCTCGTGACTTGCAATATTGAGCTTCGTCTGGGGGGAACGTCTCCTTCGAATATCTGGATACTATTGAACCCTAGCAATGTAGCCATCAATATCGAATGTAGGTCCTGAAAGATGAAATTTGCACTTGATACCGCCTGGTGATGAGAGATCTTAAGTTTGGTAGGGGGCCCGTGAGTAGGGCTAAGTTTTACACACATTGGGGTTTCTCAAAACAGGGGCCCTTTATGGACCTCTAGGGAAATAGGGGACGCAAAGGAATTTTGGGCTCCATGTCCACCGTTCCACAGGGACTATTTGACAAACTTTCACTCCCTGAGATGGTTGCAAGCATCTGTAGTAGCTCAACAAAAAGGACAGCTGTCAGTATTTCCACATCTGTAACTCTTGTCTTAGTCTAGGCTTCGCGAACGCCCCAGCCAATACGACCAAGCATCCGCAAGAGCACCGCCGAACGGACATCCTGGATCCGGCTCATGTCTCTCCCAAGGTCCCAATATCTAGTATGCCCTGCACCCCTAGCCTTCATACCCATGTATGATAAGTCGGTTTCACTTGGCAAGAAGACTCTACAGTTTTGGAGCATGGCAGCAACCTGATGTTGGACCACTTTGATATACAGCCATAAAAAACCGACACCTGATATCCACAGGGACCCCGTCTCTGAACTTGGGAACTCAAGATGATAGATGCCAAGTCTGGTTGGGACTCAAACCCTCAATCATTGACGCTCTGGAATCCCAGCAGCCCTGTGGCCCCCAAGCAGAAAACCTAAACCGCCCCGAAACCCTGACCCACCCTATTAGCCGCCAAGAGACTGGGAACTCGGGCTACGGACTTACGTAAAATGCGGGCCATTATGCACCCCAAAGGCCTACAACCCTTACTTATCATAGGGACGTATAAAACCCGGGCATCCCCATGACACAAACTGCATGAAGAGAGGCTCACACCCCTTTCAATCCCCTCTGCCTGAATCTTGGGCTTTGTAGTTTCCAACTTAGGCTCGATGGAAGCCGACATCCTCAGCTCAGGAGTACACATATAAAGTTCTCAATGCGCAGAGCGTGGGTATAATTAGGGTTTACAATAAGATTTTAGTGGTGGGGCTTTGGCGCTGGCGTAGCCGAAGCACGACAAGGCAGGAATCTGGACAAAGTCGTTGTAAGGTTTATGGCCGGGGAGGTTTAATTCAGGGTTGCAACACATGCATCACAATGCAGGCAGGGTTTTTTGTTGAGGGTTTTACTGCACGGTTTTAGGTTTCGTGTTTCGGGTTTAGTGCGGGACCCTTTGGTTGCCAAACAGTGAGAGAGCTGCTTGTAAAGGGCGACCTCCGGGTCACTAGCGGACTGTTGTGCGAACATGTTTTTTACCCAATGAACTCTCAGGTCCCATGAGTTAGTAAACGAAGTCGTATGGCTCTTCTGGGGAATTCTTTTAAATCCTCAACAGGCTCCTTCAGGCTTAATTTGCCGGTTTAGGGCCCTTTGTGGATGGAAGGATGCCGCGCATGGACATTTGGGACTCGTACGCTTCACTCTTGGCCTTGGGACCAATCATTTGGGTTAGGAATCTGAATCCTAAGACCTTTATGGATTTCAATCACTTGGAGAAAGGTAATCCTTATGACGTTCTATAGCATTGGGTAGCATACAACCCCTGAACCCTCAATCCCAAAGGGAGGTTGACGTTGGTTAGATGCTTCGGGATCTAGCATCTCAGGCTCAAAATACGGGGGGGCTCTCTGCACGAACTTGATCTGCGTACATCCTTGTATGACATTTGGATTCGGGATACGGCCGTTTATGTTTGGGCCTACCAAAAGGCTTTCGTGCTCGCACATGTGACTTTCATTTGCACAAGCGCCGCTGCTATTGCAAATCGACAACGCTGCAAGGGACGCAGTTCCAGAGGTCTGTTCTCAACGACAACAGAAGGCCGCTCTACAACATCAGTAGCGAAATCACTAGGATCTCTTCCGGCTTACTACGAGGCAACAGCCTCAAGTGCTACGGGTAGGTAAACCCTACACGCGCCCTAAAAAGGCTGTTGGATCGGTTGCAGAATGCCGCCTGGCAACTGCTTCCAAATGTCGGATGCTTTGTCCACCTGCACAGGTTACATGTGAGCTGCGTGGTGGGCTTTTCCGAATATTCCCTCTCCGCCTGCAGACATTCGAACCGATTTAATCTCGGGTAATACCCAACGCGATGGATGGGCGGCTCCTGAACATTTCAGTATCAAGTGATGCTTGGAAAACTAGTCCCTGCGTTTCTAGGCAAGCAAGGCAACAGTTGAACAGTGCTCTGCTTTGCATGCGCTCAACCTGACTGATGGCGACGCATTAGGGCCATTTTCAGGGGGAGGCGCATCCTTGAGAGACAAGGGCTAGCTAATACCAGGAGCCGAGTTTGTTGCACACAACGAACTGAATGCTGCCACAGAAGTGTGCCCAAGACATCAAAAGACCTGCTTCTGATGTATGAACGTGCTGCCGCAGCCCATTTCACGTAGCTGGGTCTGCTTGCTGATATCTTTCCCCCGTGTTGTTCTCTGCCATGATGAAGGTACGCAGCGCTGTGGCGTATGCCGCCGCCCAGGTGCTCATTCCATCACTTTCGTGTGATTACAAGTCAAGATTTTCAGATGAAAGTCTGAATCCGCTGTAACGTGGAACTTCAGTCCTTCTTTTGAGGCCTTGCATGGGGATGAAATCAACTGAACATGCAAAGTTTGAGACCCATGCGTGCATCTGTATCATAACATAAGTTGGGACCCCTCCCATGCCGGCACAAGAGTACAAACTCATACACATCCAGCTTGTTCTTCCGCGAACTCTACTGATCCCAAGTGTGAGCCGGCTCAAACACCCTTGCAATCACAACAGATCCCAGCCTGCTTCTTAAATGCTCCAGCAGGATCGGCCCGAATAGCAGTGTTGTAAATGGAATTCTCTCCTTACTGCGCAGGAGCATCGCTGATGAACATTCGACACACGCGCCACCCCTGAAACGTGTACGGCAAACTTATAACAACAAAGCAAGACACCTTGAACCTTCTTGTCCTCTCACATAATCCTACATTCAGGGCTGTATATAAACGGTCTCAGATGATGGGCTACTGGCTGGTAGGGTCCAGGTGTAAGCGCCGCGGACCTTTAAGTTCAAAAGTTGGAACGAACCCAGCCCAATCGTTGGCAGCCTCGCCTGCGTCTGCACTTCTTTATCAGCTCCTTATCCTCTTTTTTTTGTAGCCCTTCATATTTCTCAAACATATTCAGACATCATGTTCTTGCCTTCTCCAGGTGTGACCAGCATGTCTTCGTGCAGAACACATCAACTAGTGCGGCAAGGGCGCGATCTTTCCACAAGTCAGACTTTGCGCCTTGACCGCTTCCTATCACGTAGTCGATAGGGTTTGGGAACTCGAAGACCACCCCGGCAGGCGATGTGTAGGTGATCCTGGGAAATTCGCAAATCTTCCTGCTCCCTTACTGGGCTGGCCAAGAGATCCCTCCGTTGTGACTGATTGAAAGAGCAGAGGCGTGCATCCTTCCCGAGTTGACTCTACTCGTCACCCCAAGGCCTTGAAGAGGCATACTGGCATACCTAATGCACGAGTTTTGCATCTGCCAATTTTTTCTATGACCCCAAACCATGATGAAGCCTCCAAACTCTCCTTATGAAGCCATGAACTCACACGCATACATATATGTATCTCACATACCTATGATCCCTGAGCCCTGCAAGTCGTTCAAACAAGTGCCTCTCGGATCCCTCCATCCCAGCCCTGAACTCCAGCTCCCGAAACCATTAGCGCCAGCGCCGAGGCACGGGTTGTAATGATCGGCCATTTCATCCAGTTCATCAGAGAACTTGTCTATCCTATCAGTCAAGCGTTTGACACGATGGGTTTCCACCTGTCACATATGCAAGATCTTCCAAGAACTTGCAATAAAGTACCAATCCAAGATAAAAATTCCGTCGAGACGAGTCTGCACATGTCTGCAAAATACACTGCGTTGGCTCAGACAGCTGAAAACCATGCGGAAGTCAAACCCCAACCGGTCGGCAAAGCACAATGTGGTAGCCCAAAAGCCTGACCACATCCAGACACACCACCGCATGCCAGCCCAAAGCCACGGGCGGACTAAGCACTGCCACATCACACCCAACCTTGAATCATACAGCCCGGCCGGTGAATAGCCTGGTCACAAGTAGTACAATCTTCGCTCAGGACCCCCTGTTTTACTCACCCTATGCCACGAAAGTATAATGAGAAGCCTGCAGCCGATGTTCTCGCCTCTTCTGCAAGTCCTCAACGAGCCCATCCGCTTGGGCCTCTGGCGCTCCTCCTCCGCTGCAACAAGCTTAGTTGGCGGCTGGCTCTTAAAGAGCCCGGTTTAGGGTTTGGTGGGCAAGCACTAGCAATTACATTTGAAGCCTGACACGGTCTGATGCATCTCCGAAGTCGTCACTTTGGCTCCGTTCTTGCAGAAGTCTATTGAACATGAACCTCTCAAAAACAGGCAGTGAGCTTTGAAAACCGTGCCTGGAGGTTTTACTTCAAACCCCAAGCAATCTAGATTTCTCAGGCCATGAATTAGAAAACAATAGAAAACACGACCGTTCGTACTCCAACCTTGGCAAAACCACAGCTCTAAGCGCTGCAGCTTGCAGCTTCGTGGCCAAAATGTACTTTGACTACCCATATTATGCTGAATACCCCACTGCCACGATTCCACGTGCAGTATATGCCTAGAACGAGGTAAGCTGCGCACCGTAAGTTCTTGAACTTGGAACTGTACTCTCCAAACTCTTAACCTCGAATCCTCAGCAGAGATCCCAAGTCCAGAGCCCCTGTTACGCTTGCCCCGAACCCAATGCCACCTGCAAGAAAATTGGCGGCCAGCAACGCTACCGCGGAGCGTCGCGGCGGTGCAAAGGGGATGAAGCACCAGCGGATCTAAGGCTTGTGCAGGGCTTCGGCGGTTTGATGAGGTTCGACTTTCAAGGGTTGATGGTCGTGATACAGGCGTGCCCAACCGTTCTCAGATCCAGAAAGCCCCGACTGTGAAGATACCTACCTTTGTGTTCTTCACGAGGCTTAAAACCCTGGCCAATAGCGAAAGCAAAGGTGAAAAGGAATCCTGTGAGTCCGCCGGCCGTAAATTATTCCGGCCTTCACTTTTTCCCCTTATGCGATCATCCCTACACATCCCCAGCACCATCCTAGTTTTTTGCATCCACAAAGCCTGGCAGGCGCCAAGAACCAGCAGAGCCACAGCCGGAACCCAGTGCCGTCTTCCAATTTGATGCGCCATGAACATTGAGCTTGGAGATGGACGTGTTACAGTGTAGGCTAATCTCCTTCAGAAGGCAAGCTGGCACTAAGTCACCACAGAATACGTTGGCTGCTCAGCGAAAGACTTGCAGCTAGCCTGGCTTGCTGTTTTGCCGGGTGCTCAGGCGTTGCGCAGGGAACCTGGGGCAGTCAGCGTGCATGCAACCTGAAGTTGTCATCCGGTCAGGACCGAGCACCCAGTCCCTGAGCCAAAATGAGCCGAGAACGCGCGGTTTGAGGCAGGCTGCAGGCCTGGCAGTCTCTCTGCTAGAAACCCACTGTTGAAGGCCCTGCGTGTGTACAAGCTCCCATCCTGTTGGCATCGCCAGCAAAATCCTTGAGGGGCACAATAGGAACTAACATGTGCAGTTCATATGGGATCCTTGCTTCCTTCAGTACTTGACATTTGATCACTGACGTCTAATTGATGCATGTCCAGGTCCTTGTAGGGGATACAAAAGGATCGCTCCATCGCTGTACCCTTCAAGCACCAGTAAGCCAATCTGGGATGGCTCTTCTCGGAGCAATCTGCCATATAAGCCCATTTGAAATGACGTAAGGTGGCTTTTTCAATGGCAAGGATAGGATATAGTGTTATATTAAAGTATGGAGGCTCCAACAGCACCCGCAAAGAAATTCTGAATGCATCAAACGTGGAGTGTGCTGCATCCTCTTCAGAAACAGTGGCTTCAACACACATGGGTGCAATTTTCGGGGGTGCCTCTCAGTTCTTGGGTGCACTACCGCAGACCCTAGCGCATTTTTACAAAAGCATCTGATTGAGAGCTGTTGAGGTAACAGCCATGCCGAAGTTTCGCAAAATTATCCTCATCTTATCCTCAAGAAAGGCCCGTACAATGTGTTTCTGACCCATAATGCCAGAAGGCAAACCTATCTTGCGAAACCCTCAGCTCTAATCCCTGACGGCATTAAGGCCCCATACTCGGAGACCCAAACCTAAACCTGTCAGAGCCTCCCCCATCTTGACACCGGCCACAAAGGAGTCTGATGCCATGCCCTTTTGAGAATGCTTGCTCCCTCTGGCCTTCCGCAGCTGGCGCAGCTGCAGTGCCCGCTGCTTCCTGCCCAGATAAGCAGCCACACCGCTACTAGCGCCCGAGCAGTAGTACAAGTAACATACATCGTACCACCAACAGTCAACATGATAGTAGTCACGTAGGGTCCACAACATTCAGGATGTTCTTAGATGCAGGCATGGGGTTGCGAATATATGGATGACTTGGAGAGCTTGATGATGCATACGGGGATCCTTTATCTTCATGGAGCCAACCCTAACTCATGAGATGGGGCCCTGGCAGGATTTCACAGCTCGAACTGCTTCAGTCTGACTGAGCCGCTGTGTCTATCTGACACAGTGTAGGGACTCCTGAGGCAACGCCTTACTGCCAGGTACATATCTTCAGGAGACCTTGCCCCGAAACCCCAAAGGCTACGTAAGGCTTTTGTTTGCTCACTACAAGGTTCCCATCTCGATGTCCCACCCACATGCTACTCTCGAAGTGCATGGGTTGCCTCCTCTTGCGACTGGCTACCGCCCATGGCTCACGAGCGTTAGCCCCAGCGAGCTGCGTTGAGCTCGGGCAAGCAAAAGCCAAGACTTCCTATTGACAACCCCGACTTTCTGCAAGAAGCTGGTGATGCGTATCAAGTACTATGGCCAGCCTCGATGGCACATCACACTGCTAAGAGCTCCCCAAATACGGTGAGCTCAAAACGCCAACGGCAAGCATGCAATCGCGAGGGAAGCCAGGCTCGCTATGAGTAACGAGGCATCCACGGGGGAGAAAAAAGAGTGCGGTCGGAAGGCGTGGCCAGACCGACCCGGTTTTTTGCCTGCGCCATGTGCGCCACCTGCGCCAGCTGCACCACCCGCGCCAGCTGCCCCAGCTACCTGCGCCAATGCGCCACCTGCGCCATCTGCCCACCTGCAACCTGCGCCACCTGCTC